ATGTATATACATACATATGTATACATATGTATACATACATATACATACATATGTATACATATGTATACATACATATATATACATACATATATATACATACATATATATACATACATATATATACATACGTATACATACATAGACATACGTATACATACATAGACATACGTATACATACGTATATATACATATGTATACATATGTATACATACGTATATATACATATGTATACATACGTATACATACATATCCATACATATACATACATATCCATATATATACATACATATACATATATATACATATATATACATATATATACACACATACACATATATATACATATATATACATATATATACACACATACATATACACACACACATACATACATACATACATACACACACACACGTAGTCCAACAATGCTTAGTACACTTCAGCTTTAAAGATTCTGTGTTTTCACTTGCATGTTATTAAATTTACATTTTTAATTAACATAATAATAATATTTTGAATAAGCAATTTTTAATCTCAAGATTATAATCTAAAAATCGGAGGCATCTGCTTAAATGTTGCATTAGAATAAATTCACAATATGTGATTCCTATCAGTATTGTACGATAAAAATATAATGGATTGAAGAACGTCATGTCAAAATGAAAACTGTTTGGGTCAGATCAGATTTTACAGCTTTGTTGAATACTCGATATTCTGTGTCTAATTATTGATGTCTTTAATAAGTAGCTGTGTAATAAGCGTGGTACGGTACAGCTAGCGGGTCTTTATTGTGAAATGGACCCCTTCAGGTTGATTCAACACCTTTACTTTAATAGATACTATAACTGTAAGAGATTGAACAATAACAATAATCTGTTATACAATCGTACAACTCTTTTACTACTTACACAATAAGAAAGAAATCTCTAATTTCACCATAACAAAGACCAAAATGTGGGTGGGTACAAACAGCATGAGGGTAAGAAAAGACTTCGTAGAGTTGTCATTCACACAATGTCAAGCCTCTGACTTTTTCCAAGCGGGGTAAAAAACGCTCATTACCAGACACACAAATATCCTCCTGTACAAACAAATGCATGTGTATGCGCAGTTGTTGGCAATATTAACAAACGTTTAGGCGACACGGGAAGGGAAAGAGTGAGAGGAGGAGAAATGCTTTAATATTGTGGCGTATTCTGTATTAATAAGTCTGGACTCCTGTAGGAAAACAGTGTGTGCGTGTTCCCTTTACTATGTCGTCACTGAATCAGTGAAAAACAGTCTTAGCTTCGCCCTGCACTTTTGTTTAATAAGCGGAAAAGTTCTAAGGTTTTTCAGAGATTTGTTATGAATTAATCACTTTGATACGAGTTTTTTAAACTTTCATACAATAAAGTCACAATTCACTTCTTTAGAGGAGTTATGTGAAAGTGTCAAATTTCACACAACAGCAGTGATACACATGTCCAGCATGTGCACATGGCCTTGATGTGATTGCTACTCTAGGTGTTTCTCTGTGCATTTCTGGGTTATTACCTTCACCTATGTGCATTTGTGTGTGTGCATGCGTGTGTGTGGTAAAAGGCGGGACTCACTGTCTGCTGCCGTGCTGCCATTGGGCAGCATGCCCAGATCAACAACCATGCCGTCCAGACAGACGTTGAGCTCGCCTCCCGCTACAACCGAGCCTTTGTTCTCCGTCTGCAGCACCAGATTCAGCTGGACGTTCTCCACTAGAGGGGGGGAAGAAAGAGAAAGGATGAGCCGTGGAGAAAGGTACGGGGGGGGGTCTGAAAACTTGCATTCTCTCTACTGACCAGCAGGGCGATCAACAAGTACTTCTCTCTTGATTTATTACCTCAGTAAACATTGTGAACATGAGTTTATGGTCTCAATCTCTAGTTTCAAGTCTTCTTCAATACAGCATGATGTTCATTTCGTAAATTATGGTCCATTTAGAGTCAAATAGACCATAAAGCAGGGGATGCTTTAGGGCGGGCTTACTGTGATTGACAGGTCGCTGGTGCTACCAGAGCCGTATTAAAGACGTCTCTATGTCACTCCTTTGCATTCCAAATATGGTAACTTCTGTTCATTGGATGCCAAAAACAACAACATGGCGACGGCCGCATTCCAAGATGGCAACGGCGAACTCGCAGAATTGGAGTCTTCAAAACATCAGTCCACAAACCAATGAGTGATGTCATGATGACTTGTTATATACAGTTTATGGTTATCGTTCTAAAATAAGAAAACATTGTGAACCCCTCCGGGACGTTTATACAAGAGGAGGTGTTGGCAAACTCATTTCAACTTCTTGAAATGATTTACTTCATAGTGCGGCCGGAAGAAGTGAAAACTGTCCCATTGGCTACTGACGACAGAAGTATTTTGAATATGCGGTAATGCACATTTATTACAATGTAATGTGGGTGGCATAGGATGGGAAATTCCACTCTGGTTTAAGCAATGGACCCCTAAAGTCAATACATCATATTGCTTAATCTCCTCTTACAAAGCTTCCAGTAGACAGTGATGCCAGGTGCTTAGAAAGTCATGATTTGTTTGGATATTGTCAAGTTTACTCGTCAACATTTTGAAAGAAACACTAGATTTCCAGAGGAAATGAGTCTTGTACTGAAGCTCAGAAGGACATTCGGGGGAATTCTGCTGAAGAGTAATATCAGGTGTTTCATTACACTAAAGCTAAAACATTTACAGAGTGGTGGAGAAGAATGTGGTCACTGCTGGACGCCGTCTGATATCTGTCCTTTTCAAAGCTAATGAAAACACTACGATTCTTAGTTTCGGGTGATTATATAGCGATTAAAACATAGTTATGAATAATATATTCCATTGCTGCCAATGAATCCCCCTAAATGTTACACACTGTTCCTTTAATGTTAGCCATTAGCTCCGTTACTTAGCCGAGCAGGACCGTGCTCACCGGCTGCTAACAGCTAACGCTAACTGGTGTCTCCTTCTGCAAATCTGTTGTTCACAATATAGAATTATCAGGGAAAAACTATGGTTCATGAGGGTGTTTAAGCACAGGTGTGTAGTACTAGTTTGCACATGTGCAGTAGCGTTTGGGATCAGTACCAAAGTGACATGTGTTGTTGTTCCTGTCTAGCATAAATGAGCTGATAAATATGATAAAATGATATCAGATCGGTGCATGGACTTGTGTACTGGCTGATACCTGATCAAGTATTTTAGGCTGTATTGGAGGCATTTCTATTGGTATCGGATCAACTCTAGTTATGAAGTTATTCCATATTGAAAACAGTGGAGAAATAAATCATAATATTGTCTAAACGTTTCTCTATGTGTGTGTGTGTGTGTGTGTGTGTGTGTGTGTGTGTGAGCCCTTACTCTTGCCATCGTGAGTGCGCAGCGTGTCCAGCAGGTCTATGGTGGCGCTGCCCAGTAGCTCCTTCCTGAGTGTGTGGCAGCTCCACAGCTTCAGATCTAGACGACTCTGAGGCGTCACATTACTGCGGAACACAAACGGTGAATGGACTTTACTGTATAGCGCTTTTCTAGTCTTCCGACCACTCAAAGCGTTTAACACTACATGTCATCGTTCATATCCATTCATACACTGATGGGAGGGGCTACCATGCAAGGTGTCACCTGCCCATCAGGACTATGTAATCATTCATATCCATTCATACACCACAGGAAAAGCCTGCGGGGGCAATTTGGGGTTACGTGTCTTGCCCAAGGACACATGGACTAGTGGAGCTGGGGATCGAACCAACGATCCTCTGATTGAATGATGATCCTGCTCCACATGATGTTACCAGACCAACACACATCATCAAACATACAAGAAACACTGCATATCGGTAGATAAATCTAGTCAGTTTTACCACAGGAAATGTTTGAAATGAGCGGACTTTATTCTTTTAATAAAATATTAGTTACCTTCATTGTCTTTATCAGTACACACATAACAACAGGCTGGGATGAACACTATGTGTATGTTTTATAGAAATGTTTATCTTACAAGCAATAAAATGCGAGATTATATAAAAGTCATTGTGTGTGTGTGGGTGATGGTGTTCTCACAGGGTGAGGTCTTCGTTCCACTGCAGCTCGAGGTGGCCGCTGCGTTTGCCAGTTTTTTTGGTTTCGCTGGTCAGGCCGTCTGCCGTCACCTCGACAAAGGAGCTGAGTCGAGAGTGACGGTTTGGCAGCTTGGGAGACTGGGGCTTCGCCGACACCACTGATGCAAGACAGATTGAGGAAACGGGAATATGTTAGAATTGTAAAATGTGTTATTTTTGTAAAAAGTGGTTCACCGACTGGAAAGGACCAACACAGTTCTTCTCTCTGGAATGGGACACCTCTGTGCACCTGTACAACACTTTTTCCCACCAAAATCAGCACGTACAAAAATCATAAACGGTTTATTGCCAAGACATCATTTAAAAATATGAAAATGTACAGTAAAATATGATAAAACAAAACAAACAAACAAGAGTATGTTAAGTCATATGCCGTCTATGCAGTGACGTCACGGACACAAGGTTATTAACCAGTGAAAATGTACCGTGGTTACTTTTTCTTTTACACATCTGTTACTTATTCAGTCTCTCTTTAAAACTCTCAAGCTAGAGTTAGTGACTGTTGGAACAGTGGAAAGACTAACAAAGACTTTCTGTCGCATTTGAATGAAGGGAAAAGTAAAAATGACTGTGATTGGAGACTGGTGGTTTTGAGAAGAGCATATTAATTGATGTTTTTTACGTCATTAAATCATGACAACAATCGAAATCCCTGTTGATTTGAACCACGTTGCGCAGCATCACATCGACGAGGGGCAAAAATCAGCGCGTAACCCGGGTGTCATGTTTTCATCACTGCCAATCGGAGTCGATTGTACATTTTTGTAACTGAAGACAAAAGTCAGATGTAAGTTGTTTTTTTTTGTGGGGAAGGGGCTTAAGATACAGACTATGTGACTGTGGCCACAGTCCAACCACAATGAGGAAATGTATTTCTATTACAGCCTTCATATCAACAACACCTCAGCCATAATTTCTTTTAAATAATATACTGTCCCCTGTCTGTGCCAGTCAGTGCGATCGGGTCCCCATAATTAAGTCATCTGCAAACAGAAGGCCTCGTGTTAGACATGCGTCGAATACAATTTTCTTGGCCGATTACAGTGTTTTTATAAAGTCTGCCAATTCCAATTTTTGTGGATTCTGAGTTTCCTTTCGAAGAACTATCATTAATAGCAAAAATCTAGACTAACTTTTTTTGTTTTATCGTCCAGAAGAATGTTTGTAATCGTTCTGTCACGGTCAAACATTCTAATTGTCATCCTTTTACTTTGGTACTGTCATCTGTAGTTGTTATTTGCATAAAACACACAATTCAAATGATTCATATGTAAATTATTGTTTTTAATTTTGAAGTGAATACATTGAAGTAAAAGCAGAAAGCTCCATCATGACATAATGTTAAAATTAGTATAATTTTCAATTGCTTTCAGATAATTATCCAGAAGATTGTTTAGCACTTCTAATAGTTTTGTACTTGTAATGCACTGATCAAATATATATTGTCCTTTACTTTTTTACAGTTCATGGAGAGGACGCCACACAACAGTAATGTGCTTTCAGTCAGAATTAAAGATGCTGCCAGCATCACTACACAATACTAAAGCATACCTTTACAGCAGTTTGTATAAAAGACGTCAACATACTTCACATGGAATTATAGATTACTTGCACCTTCAGATATCAATGAAAGTGCAACTTGAGAATACCAATTAAATAAAGAGACAGCAAATCTTTTCCCAAAAATGTCAGCATATTATTATTTTTCATTTAATTTTTTGCTTTACGAGTTGTTTCTTCAGCTGTTTAAACCATTCACAGTTCGCTTTAATTTTTCCAGCTGTGTGTCCATTTCTTTTGTGCTATGCAAATTGTGGGATTTTTTGTTGTTGTTAAATAATTCTTCTTTTTGTCACTTATTTTGTGTACACACACTAAATACTACTATGTTGTATGGATCTGGGGTGAACTTGTGTTGGTGAACTGAGCAAACAGACATAAAATAAACAATAAACATCGCCCTCTAGTGGAAGAAAGAAAAAACAACTGTGGTGCAACTTTCATTCATTTTCATGAGTCTGGGGAAGTAATGAAATGGTCACAATACTGCTTTGCAGTGATCGCACCAGTTGAACAACAACCTAATAACATGAATGCATGAAACAGGTTGTACAATATACTCGTGTAAAATGAGACATCCTCATATTCCCTGACGAAACTCTACAACCCATTCGGAGGACACAGGTCTCTCTACATTTCGTGATATTTCACTAAATAGCTCTGCAACTCTGGAAAAAGGCTCCAGCCTGCTGGATTAGCAGCTTTGAATTCTAGTAGGCCTGCTGAGAATCTTGATACAGGAAGTGTGAAGACTTGGAGAGAATGGATTTGATCGTCAACTGAAGCACACACAGCCTGGCACTGTTTCTCAGGGTGAGAGGCTGGATGAATACATGCTGACAGAGAGAGGCCTCTGTCTGTACGACATGTTGGGCATTTTAAAGTTAAATGAGAGCAAAACTAAGATGCTATATCTATGAAGAACTTTGTGCTCTTGTAAACAAGGCTGTTTTCTAGCAACAGTGGAAAGTAACAAAGTACATTGAGTTAACTCAAGTACAGTAATATTTTGACGTCCTTGTACTTTACTTGAGGATTTTCATTTTACATAACTTTATACTTCTACTCCACTACATCTCAGAGGGAAATATTGTACTTTTAACTTCACTACATTTATTTGACAATATTAGTTACTAGTTAGTCTACTTTACAGATTCAGGTTCTTCATAGAAAATAGCACTAGTAAACAATGAAATCATAAACACATGTGTTGTATAGATGGGAATGGTGATGACGCAACCTCAAAGTATGGTAAACCCGGAGAGAGCCAGTCAACCCGTTGAAAAGTTTAGAAATATTTCAGGTACATTATGAAACTGTGGCAGGACAAAACAGACTTTGGCAGGCTTCCAGGTAATTGATGGCAAACACTGGTCACATTGTACTTTTTTTGAAAACAAAGCTTTGATAAATGTAACTCTTGTGCTTCATGTTAAAACTTACTTGAGTGACATTACACCCTTAAAAGGATCATTTCAGGACTAAACACTAACTTTTAAAGGTGGTCGCCAGGCATCAGTTTAGGTTGCCGAAACTGATGGTACGGTTACTATTTTTTGTCACCTTATATTTTCAGTAATAGAGATACTCTGCAGTTATACGTCTGTTAATATGAAAGTCTTGTGAATGGCGGTGGTCATCGTCCTGTCAATGGATGCGTCACATATCAAGGTGTTTCGAAAAAACGAAAATAATTTTGTTTTTTCATTCCGGTTCAATTGCACATTGGTTTGCACCTACGTTGACGCTCGTACTTTTCTCCTCACAGTCAAACAACTTAATTTGCGTCACCATTGTTTCTAAAACAGCTGCCTGTGCACACGCGAGTAAACACACCAACACACATGCAGCGTTGTCTGGTTCTGACTGTAACAGCCATATCTAAATATCATTAATGCAACAAATATTTAATATGTATTAAGAAGTGGTTGCCACTGATGTTGCCAATGTATCCAGAAAGCTCCTTGGAGCTGAAGGTAACGGTCACATGATAAAAGCCTGTGGGTCCATGACTTCAAGCAACTTCACATACAGGTGTGATCCACTGTTAATATGAATTACAGATTATTGCTGCTTGAATTATTATTTTAAATACTTTTTATGACAACTTATCAATCATCTGACTGCTTGAGTCTCTTGACCCGTCTGACAACTATGGTTGAACACTTTTGTGCACTCTATATTTAGGGCCCGAGCTACCGACAACGTCGGGCCGCGAAGGCCCTATTGATATTGTACCCGTTTGGGTAAACGTACGCATGGTTGGAGGACTTGCCAAGCATGAAAACTCACCAAATTTTGGGGACTTGTCAGGCCTGGTGAATATAGCCATCTGAAAAAGAATGCATCTTTCTGTGTTAAGAAATGGCTCTCTAGCGCCCCCTACAAGTCGGACCGGCGACGACCCTCGGCCAGTATGTCCGATTGACTTGAAATTTGACACACATGTCCAATTGAGCTAGAGCTACAAAAAAGCCAATCAGACCTCTAAGCTCCGCCTACTTAGATTTTCCACCATATTGAATTTAGTGTAAAACACATTTCTGCGAACTCCTCCTACATGGCTTAGTCCCATTACTACCAAATTTGCTGTGGATCATTACTGGATCTACGTCATCAAAAGTTATCAAAAGCTTTTTGATATCTCTTTTCGTTTACAAGATATGTACCAATAAACTTCTTAGGGGCGTGGCTTAATATCAATACATATAACTTCTCAACCGTTTGTCCTAAAATTACCAGATTTTCAGCATATGTGCACATTGCATCCTCTAACATATCCTGACATTTGTTTTGCATTCAACAACTAGGGGGCGCTACAGTAAACCCTCGAAGTTGTGCTTTTTGCAGATTTCAGCCTTCGCACTTTAAAACCTTCTGGTACCTAGCCCTATTTTTAGCCCTCTGCTCGAAAATTGCATACCCATACTAAAGAGAGTCCCGAGCTCTAACTACAAGGTCTATTTTAATAATTTTTATGCTAGAATACTGGAAACACTTGTGAGATGTGTTGAATTGTGTAAATATTGTGTATATGTTAATAACTGATACACTTATGGCACAGCTCAAATTGAAAAATTTCTAGGTTCGCCTGAAAAAAAGCACTTGTATTGAACTTTTTTTTTTTTTTTTTAAATAATGCAGCTGCAAGCCTAAAACTACGCCACAGAACAACACGTTTTACATGTCCCCACAACATATTTTACTTCGATTGAGTGAAGCAGGCCAGCATAAATGGTCATAAAAATCAAAATTTTGATTTTCGGAACCAGCTGTTGCATTGCTGTATACTAATTTTATATACTATATAACTAAATATTAACTATATATTCACTTTTCTTATCACTAAATAAATCAGTTTGACACCATTTTGAGCAGTTATGATGCGTCACATCTGTCATTCATAACAATAAATGACTCATAATGTGTGTCTATGTGACCCTGGTAAGGCCGATTTACTCGTGCGAGACATTTTTAGATGCGGGATAGTCCAACGGGAGCCATGCAGGGGTGTTTGATCGTATCCGGGTCTGTTTACTGACTAAAAATCGCAAAATGCTGGGCGAACTCCCCTCTCTACATGGATTGCTCCACCCCACAGAATCGCCTGCCATTTTGTGATTCATTCCGCCAGCGCATTGATCTCACTCACAGACATGCAGCAGAACATGGCGGGCAGAGCTGTGCAGAAATCGGCTCGAATAAATCCGTTTTTCATCGCCAAAACCATCAAAACGTTTTTTACCCAATTGTTTTTCTCGTGACCTACGGCTGATGTTGGCATGCATACCCATAACTTTTGAACGGTTTGAAAGAGAGTAATTTGGACACCGCTGTGCTTTTCCGGGTCGAATCGTGCCCCTCCTGCATGCGTTCATCCGCCATGTGCGATCCTGCTCCGTGATGAGAGAGCCATAGAGTGAGCATAGGTCGTCGATTTTTGGCCAAAATTGTGGCAAATCTTCTAGATATGATATTAGTTCATGTATAATTGTGTTTGCAGTGTTTACAAAGGCTGGCATGATGATGTTGCTCGAACTTTTCCCGTTAATTCGATATTTAATATGTCTGTAGCAATAATCATATTTCTTTATGAAAAATGCTTTCTACGACACGCTGAATGCTGCACACTCTAAAACAGCCCCCCGTGGGGGGCTCTCGGGTCCAACGGGTTTTAACGAACTCCTCCTACAGATTTTAAGCGATCAACTTCTACTTTGGTCAGGATGCTCTTAAGACCTTTGTGATTAAAAGTTATCAAAATCGAGTTTTCATCAAAGAACCTTGGCGTGGCGTGGCGGCCATTTTGCCTCATTGTTTATGAAAAAATAAGTTCTTATAAGTTGTTATAACTCCAAGGTACATTATCCAATCCGCACAAAACTTCTTTTGCATTATGCTACTTCAAGCCTAAACATACTTCAATTGAAAAAAATTCAATAATTCATAGCGCCGCCTACTGGCTAAAGGAAATGTTTTATACTTTTAATTATTCCTCCTAGCCAGGTGACCTTATGAGTCTAAAAGTTGGTAAGGATAGCCTTAAGACATTGATGACGCATCATCATGAATTTTTTGAGTTTTCGTTGAACGCTGTTGCCGTGGCAACGCATAGTTTGCCATGAAAAAGAAAGCTGATGGTTTAGTGGGTTGGGATGCTCAAAAACTCATGGAACTTTGTACATGTGTCACAGGTCATTGGAAGAAATAGTTTATATGATTTTCTTTATTGGCCGTTTTAAATTGCCTCTATAGCGCCCCCTACAACATTTCCAAAGAGCAGCCCCAGCGCTACGTTTTGGCTACATGTATAAAACTTGGTAGGCACATGTATCCTATGGAGACTTAAAAACAAGTCTCTTGGGACCATGCTCTAAACCCTACCGGAAGTCTGCCATTTTCAATTCTGTATGAATTTATACAATATTTCGACGATGCAGCCCTCGCAGTACGTTTCACTATCTATATATAAAATTTAGATGTATAACATTTGGTAAACAGATGTATCACATGTAGACTGACAAAAAAGCCCCTGGAGCTCTAAGCTCTAAACCCAACCGGAAGTCAGCCATTTTGAATTTAGTGGAAAAACAACACATTTTTGCGAACTCCTACACGCTGCCTCCGATTTCTACGAAATTTGCTGTGGATCATAAGTGGATCTAGATCATCAAAACTTATCAAAATCTTTTTGATATCTCTTTGTGTTTACAAGATATGGACCAATACACTTCTTAGGTGCGTGGCAAAATATCAATACACATAACTTCTCAACCATTTGTTCTAAATTCCCAAAATAATCAGCATATGTGCACATTGCATCCAGTAACATACCCTGAGAATTGTTTTGCATTCGACCACTAGGGGGCGCTACAGTAAACCCGCAAAGCCTACTGGCTAAAGGAAATGTCTGATGTCACTCAGCTGGACTTGTTCCAAACGGTCCCAAACTTCTCATGCTTGATAACACTCATGGCCTGAGGATGTCTACAAGCTAATTTCCAGTAATACTCACAGCGCCACCTGCTGGCGAAAGGAAATCTGGATTTTATGATAAACACCTCCGATTTACATGACTTTTACACAATGTGGTTTACATTTGACACAGAGCTACATGATGCATGTTTGCACGCGTTCTGCAGCGCCAGGCAGCGGATACAGGAAGCATCAGACTGTTTGCAAAGCATCATTTCCGGCATCAGGCGGTCCACGCGGGATTAAAAACATCTCACTCGCGGACGCGCTGGCCGATGGTCGCGGACGTTCTCGGCCGCGCAGGGCGGAGTCCCGCAGCCACCCCCGACACGCTGGAGGATGCGAGGGCCCGTTCATCGCTGCTCGCAGCTTTAATTTTACCTGATAATGCTACATTGTGAGCAACAAATCGGCAGGTGGAGAGCTAGTTAGCATTAGCTTAGCATTAGCTGTTAGCAGCCTATGGCCACACAGTCCTGCTTTACTAAACAAGTAAGCTAACAACTTACATTAACGGAGGTTGCATTGAATTACATTATGATACATTCAAGCTCCATTCAGTAAAAATGATTATTGGTAATAAGTAAATTATAACTTTCATAATGTGTTCAAATGTAATCTTGTAAAATGTACGGTTTTGGAGCAAAACTTGAATACATTCAGTGGAAGGAGATGTTTTCACAGCAACATAAAATAAATATTAGAGAGGGAATTATGACTTCCTAACACTAGCTCTAACCAGTTTATATTACATCATTAAAACTACCAATGCCAGATTTAGTTTTTAAATCAAAGCGAACATTAAAATAAAAAAATTAAAATGTGTTTCCTAATCATTTACGTTGTGTGTTTTATTTAAATAACCTCTACAGATGACTATAAACAAAGTAAAGGATAACATTTTGAACTTTTAACAGTTTAAACGGAATGGTTGAAATTATGATTCGGGACGTCCCTGGTATCGGATCGGTAGTAATGAAAGAGGAACAGTAATGAAAGAGGAATATATGTTGGGTCAGGTTGAGCCATTATTTTTAAAAAGGGAGTAGCTACAATTTAGGTTTCATTAGTTGGGCCGCCATACAGGGGGGATATCTTAATGATATTATATTATTATATATTATGATGGATGGACAGAACAGGTGACATCATGCTGCCTCATGTGCGGAGCTTTTTCAGAGATGACTTAAAAAAACAGATCATTACCTTTCAAGATCAACTGAGACTTCTCAGTGGTCTGGGCACCGCCAGGTCTGCTCACGCCGGCAGCTGCCATGACCTCACAGCTCTGAAACACAGCCACACAATATTTCAACGTATTGTCGCTTCACTGCAACATTACAACAACCCTTGCATGAAAAACAACATTTATTACAGGTAGATTTAGCAGATTGGCCAAATAAAATCCAATGAAGGCATAAATGTGTTCCCCCACATCAGAGTGCCAAGACTTTCATCAGACCCCATCAACATCACCTTGAGCAAAGTCAGAGATGTAGCCTGCTGGATTGGATGCAAAGAAGATTGCATATGCAAGGACGCAGCCAAACTGAACTCTAGTCTGGAGCTGTTGTAAATAATGGTCTTTACTTTGTATATCAAGAAAAGACCCTAACCCTAATACTGGTTCGTGGAGGGGGATCTCATCCTGTTATTAATGTAACGTCACTTGCTGCCTCACCAAGGTGACTGCTGGTGGCATCTCGGCATCTCTGAGACCAAATGATGCATTGTCAGATGTGACCTGGCCGTAATAGACAGCCAACTATAAACGTGCTGTATTAACCAAATGACCACCCGAGGTCTGTCTCGGGGATACAGACAATCAGATCGTAGCAATCACAACAAACGCGCACAGCATCTTCCGTCAACCTTGTAAAACAAGCTGACCGGCTACGCAGCGTTAGCTAAATCCGCTACTCAGAGGATGCTGGCTAAACTTCATATAGACTTGAAAAGATAGAACTGTCCCGGCTAAACAGATTTCATTGTCCCCGGATTTAAATACCCTTGGCTGCTGCGCACAAAACACAAACACGGAAGATGATCAAGGCATTTCTAAGCATCACTGTCAAGCGCGGCTGCGAAAACATTGACTTCCGGTTATCGCTTCTAAACTAAAGCTCAGCTAGCAAACATTGTTATGTTGCAGCGTATTATGACCAAGAAAATCACACTAAATTCATAGGAGAGTATTTCCTGAAAGAAAATGGCATTAAGTAGCCCACGCCAATGTTGTTTGCCACACACAAAAAATGTTCCCACCTCTGTAGCATTTGTTTTGAAGGGGAAGTTGCGACATGTCCCGTTCTGTGTGTCTAATTCTGGTTAAATTCACCCAGAAGAAGCTAACTGTTAGCGAGCGAGCTTCGTAGTGGGATTTTACAAAAGGACATGTCGATAAAACCTGTTCTAACCACTTGACAACAAGTAAAACTGCATTTATAGTTACGTGGTTTACGTCAGAACACGTTATATATTTTAAAACACCCTCAAATTAGGTTTAAATGTAATCTTTCCCGTACCTTTCTCAGCTGTGCTCCTCTGCTGTTTCTAGTGAACTTTCATTTCCGCCTCAGTGACAATATCACGTGACCCATGGTAGGTTTTTTTTCATTGCACAAAGGATTGTGGGTCATAAATAATGGTAAACATCGCGTTAATTATTTCAAATTACGGTTAAGCTTCTATTGATTGAGATCAAATAGAATATATAGCAAAAAAATATTGAAGGTATTTATTATATTATCGTAATTACAAATATTAAAGCAAGAAATTAAACAGAATAAATAGGTATCAAAAGAGAGAAGTCAAATATTATTCAAAAAAAATATCAAGACACTGGTACAAGTGAGCTCCTATTATCAACCCAAATAGAAACAAATGTAATGATAAGTTCCCAAATGTCAGCTGAATATCAACATTTGCACTTTAAAGCTGCATTCAATTATTTCTATTTTATTTTTTATTCTTAGAGACAGCAGAATAAGCTGAGGCTTCAACTTTTAAAGTTCAATATAATTCGCTCCCCTCTGTGGTCTCCATCTTCTAAGAAAAATATCCAGCTCTTCAGCTGCTAAATTGAAGCGGTATACCTAAGGGTTACCGATATGGAATAACCCTCTTTATGGCATGGACAGCTCTGACCTTCTTCACACATTTGTGCATGTGTTTTTTAGACCGTTTGGACTATCTCATTTTAGTGTTATGAACATAAAGTGCCTCACCGTGGACCAGTATCGCTTAAGTTTTTTCACAATGAGGAAATAGCATCAAAGTGCAACTAGTTTCTGAATAAAGGTTTTGGTTGATTTTCTTATTTCATTACACTAGTATTTATTATGGACATACCTGGGTGAGCAGAAGTCTCAATGGATAAAAGTACTGATGATGTGTGTTGGAGGGAGGAGTAATTGCCACCACTATCATAACTGTCTTTATGTACTCCAATTGTCATTACCATTATGATTTTTGTGTCTCATGAATAATGCTTTGTGCATAGCGTGAATGGGGTTGCCATTTTGAGTAATTGGCAACCAATTCTTGACCTTTGATTGTATATCTTATCGATATACCAAACATTTGAATAGAGATGTATGGGTGATTTCACAGAATATAACTTAAGCTCAGAATCCACTTGAGCTAAATATATAAATAAAGATTATTATGAAGAAGATAGAACATATATATATATG